CGTTCGCGTAGGCCAAATGCCCCCCAGGCCCAATTTTCCTTCTACGCGTTCGCGGTTACTCTCCCGCGTTCGCGTAGCACCTTGACCCACTCCTTCGCGTTCGCAACTCCCCCTTCGCGTTCGCGAAGGCCAACATCACAGCCTCCCATTTTCCTCTTCGCGTTCGCGAGACTCCCCTCGCGTTCGCGAAGAAGGAAACCAGATACTAGCAACCAGCAGTCAACAAGTCCCAAAAATGACCCGTTGAGCATCCGAAACACACCTGAGGCCCCCGGGACCTCAACCAAAAACACCAACACATCCTATAACATCATTCAAACTTGTTCCAATCATAAAAACACTTCAAACAACACTAAAACCATCATTTCTCATCAAATTCAAGCCTAAGTTCTTCCAAAACTTCCGAAACACGCATTCGATCAAAGCCCCAACCAAAACAGCTCCGAATGACCTGAAATTTTGCACACACATCCCAAATCACCTACCGAAGCTACTGCAACTCTCGGAATTCCATTCCGACCCCCGTATCAAAATCTCACCTATCGACCGGAATTCGCCAAAATCCTAACTTTGCCAATTCAAGCCTAATTCTACTCCGGACCTCCAAAATCACTTTTGATCACACTCCTATGTCATAAATCATCCCCCGAAGCTAACCGAATCATCGAAATTCATATCCGAGCCCTCTAACACAAAGGTTAACGTCCGGTTGACTTTTCCCAACTTAAGGCTTCTTAAAAGAGACTAAGTGTCTCATTTCTTATCAAAACCATTCCAAACCAACTCTAACACATCAAAACTGATAATGAAACATGAAGAAGCATAAAATGGGGGAAACGGGGCGGTCACACATGACGACGGGTTGGGTCGTCACAGATTCTTATCAGTAAGTTTGTTAGATCATCAAACCATAACAAGGATGCATATAACCTATCACTGAATAAACTTTGAACAACAAAAATAAAAATTTAGAAAAAGAAGAGAAAGTAGATTTCGTGAATATATTATCTATTCCCATGATTTGAAAGTCAGCTAAGAAATTTTCTACGTATAATGCTTTTGTTTAAGAAAAAAGATCACATGAGGCCATCTTTGTTTTACTTGATAGTCTCATTTTCCATTCTGCTGCATTGCTCCGATCCAGGGGCGTATCGAGGGGGTTCAGGAGGCACGCCCCTCACTAAATCATGTATAGTATTTCCTCCAGTTCAAAATAAGTGATTTTTTGGCTTTTTTTTTGTGGTCCAAAATAAGTGATTTTTCCAGATTTTAAAAATGAATTAATTATTTTTTTCCTACATTGTCCTTGGAGTAAATAGTGTTGGAATATGTGTTAAGAGTGTTTATGTGAGATAGTAAAGGTTAATATGGTCAATTCCATTGCTAATTAATGCTAAAAGGTGGATTTCTTAATCTGTGTGAAAACATCCAAAAAATCACTTATTTTGGACCGGAGGGAGTAATGTTATATTTTCTTAAAAATATTTAAATATACATATATGCACCTATGCTCAAAATATTATATGATGTGATGATTATTGTGTGTACCTCTCTAAGTGAGGTTGTGAGTTCAAATCTTATGTCAATCTTGTTATTTTTTTTCTTATTTTTTTAGAACTAGACGCTCACGGGAGATGTGTGCTTGCGGCGTCACTTTTTGTGTATTAATTAAGTACTTTTTCTTTTTATTTCTTTTTTTGTTTGGTCTATTCTTTCAAAAATTTCAAACATTGAAATTCCTATTCTTCTTTTGTCAATGTAGAATCTTATATGATTAAACAAAATGTGTATGTTAAAACTAGTAGCAGTGTATGATGTAGCATATAGAGGGTGTTTGGCCAAGCTTATAAGCTGGTCAAACTGGCTTATAAGCACTTTTTGACTTATCTACGCGTTTGGTAAAATTAAAAGTGCTTATAAGCCAAAAATAAGCCAAAAGCCATAAGTTGGTCTCCCCCAACTTATCAAATTTCAGCTTATAAGCACTTTAGGTTTGACCAAAATATTTACTATTCTATCCCTAAAATACTTCTTTTTAGAACAAAACTCTTTGTATACCCAGTTCTTCAGCTTATTATTAATTTCAGTACTTTTATCCAAACACGTAACTGCTTATTTTTTAAATCAGCTTCAGCACTTAAAAGTACTTTTCAGCACCTAATGCTAGGGGTGTTCATAAAAACCCGAAAAACCGAACCAAACCGAAAACCAAACCAAACCGACCAAAAAAACCGATACTTTTTGGTTTGGTTTGGTTTGGTTTTGGTTTTGAATTTTAAAAACCGATCAAATTTGGTTTGGTTTTGGTTTTAATCAGAAAAAATCGAACCAAACCGACTATAGGAGTAGCTATTTCAAATTTATTATTACACCTATATATATGTATATTGTTATATAAAGTTTCAAAAAATTTACGGTAAATGTTAATAGTTTGCACTTTTAATATAGTTCTTTACCTTTACATTCTAGTTTGATTGGTTATTTTCTTTTATTTAGTGTAAGAATCTATTTCGTGTTAAAAATAACATATTTTTAATTGAGTCCTTAAATTATTCATGCTATTTGATTCAATTATCATCAATATATTTTGGTAAATAATAGATTTCTCAAAGGGCAATTGATTTGATAGTGTTACATTGAAAATGTGGTCGCCGGAATATGTGTTTGATAGTGTATGTCTTATATTTAAGAAAAAACCGACAAATAACCGGAAAAAACCGAAAAAATCGACATAAATCGAATCGAGAAAAACCGACTTAATTGGTTTGGTTTGGTTTGGTTCTAATATTTGAAAAACCGACTAACTTGGTTTGGTTTCTTTTTAGGAAAAAACCGATCCAAACTGAACCATGAACACCCCTACCTAATGCTTATTAGCTACTCTAAATCAGCTAAGCCAAACGGGCTCATAGTCAATAGGTTCAACTATTCCAAATATTTTCTCCATGAAAAATTGATATATATGTAAAAAAATTACTATTTAAAAAAAATAATTTTGAACTTATAATTCCAAAAGTGTAATGGGTTGGCAATAGTAAGAAGTAAAGGTTGAATTTATATTCTTCTTCTTAATAGTACACCTATCCTGTCAAAATTCTGGATCCGCCTCTGCTCCAACCATATAATAAGTTGTCCAAAAAACAAGCAGAAAAAAAAACTAATTTTATTTTATTTTGTAACTTTTTGCCGTTTGAGAGGAAGGAGAAACCGAAGAAGGGGACAAAAGGAGTGAGTGAGATGAGACGAGTCATTTACTCTTATTTAAGGGTTTCGAAATAAAAAAAGAGTAGCCTGACATATAAAATATCATGATATATGGTTCGGAGAAGGACCACACCTCACGAGATATAATATAATTAATAACCTATACAAATACAATATTAGTGGTTGCATCCACGGGAATAATAACTTTAATTATCATACACAAAAATAGCCTTAGTCCATTAATTTTTTTGAGTTTTAAGTTAGAAAAGACCCTGAGTGAGGTTCTCTCAAATATTTGTAAAAAGAATGAGCTAGTTGCACATAACCAAATGCACTAAGAGATAATTTCTTCAAATTGTATCATTTTTCCTACTTATCCGTTTTCTCACAGTATTAATATATATATTTTTTGCAAAATTTTTTGACGAAGTGATGTCTCGTGATACTGTTTCGTTGACGTGCACCACGCTTAGCCGTGACGAATAGATTTTACCGTTGCTTCAAAATTCAACACAAATGCCAAATGCTTTAAAAAGAAGGTTCTAGAGGGATTTTCTTTTGTTATGCGCTTTTCTTTTCTTCCTTTCTTTCTTTTGCAAGGGGGTGTGCATGTTTGAAAACTTGGCAATAAATAAAGAAATGAAGTTAACAAATGGATTCCATGCAATAGAAAAGAAGAAACAATGCCAAGTGGAATATACTTGGCAAGGCTTTTTTCGTGCCTTAAAATTCACCGCACTCTCTCCTCGACCACATCAAAACCCTTTAATTTTTCCTTTTTTCCACACTAAATTCAAAGATGCTGTTGACAATTGTAGACTTCTCCCTTACCCACTCATATGGACTATTTTACCCCTCCTTTGAGTTCAATTTTACCCCAATAGAAGTTGAAGTTCCTCTTTAGTACACCTAGAATGTCTTATCAAAATGTTACTACTATCACTATATATCGTGATTGCACATAATAAAAATAATATAGTTATATTAGCAACTACAATGTATAAAACAAAATAATTGTGATTTTAAATATTTGCTTTACAAAACTAACCCCTCTCAGTGTTATACTGTATATCTTAATTCATTACAAAAATTTGAATCTCTTGAAAAACCTTCTCATATATTATTGCCAAAACATTTACTTTACCTTACCAATAAGTTATGTAAATCACATGTACGAAATGGCATATTTATTCTCTTTTACACAATACAATTTGCATAATTAATATCATGTGACATAGGTAAATTATTTTAAAAGAAAACCACATGAATAAGCCTCCAATTTTTGGTAGGCTAAAGGGCAATTACTAGTCTGTTCCAAGCATTTTTTTGGGCCAAATGTGTTTTTTTTTTGTTGCTAAAAGTGTTTTTTTTTAAAAAAATTAAAGTGTTTGACCAAGCTTTTAGAAGGAAAAAAAGTACTTTTGAGGAGAAGCAGAAGCCGTTTTTGAAAAGCAGAAAAAAGTAACTTCTCTCCAAAAGCACTTTTTTGGTACACAATTTTGAGAAAAATACACTTACAAACAATTTTTAAAAGCTTGGTCAAACACTAAATTACAGTTCAAAAATACTTTTTAAATTAATTAGCCAAACACAAACTAAGCTGATTTTAGAAGCTTGGCCAAACGGGCTATATATTAAGTTGCTATAAAAAATGAAGTCACAAATTTGCTTTTTAGTATAAGGGTAATTAGGTAAATAAGAAGAAATGTAGGGGCAAAATTTGCTGAAACATCAAGTACAGTACTTATTTTTTACAGTGAAATATTGTTAAGTCCAACTGGGTTTGGCCTGTCCCACTTGTCCGCTCACTACTCATATAAGTTGCTATTCGCTTTCAGTTCTGTGGAGGAAACAAATCCTGAAAAAAAGAAACCAAAATCACAAGGAAAGAAGAAGAAGAAGAAGAAAGGATTGAGGAAAATTAGAGAAAATGGCGTTGAAGTTGAATGCCTTCAACTTTCAATCTCACAAATACTCTTCTTTTGTTCTTCCACCAATGGTGAGCTTTAGATCTCCAAAGTTTTTCATGGCTGCTAGCCTTCGTTCTGGTACAAAGTAAGTATCATCTTTTTACGTTTTCTTTTTTTCAGTTAACTTTTTATTTTATTATTGTTCTTCTATAAAAGTTAGTGAGAAAGATTTCAGGTGGAACGAGAGTTTCATTTTCTTTATCTTTTCTTTTAATGTTCTTTCAGTTGCCTTTTAGTTTATTCTTGAAACCCATTACTCCCTTTTCATTTTTTATATTACAGCTTGGATCTTTGTTAAAAAAAAAAAAGATTGTTTCTTGACAACTTTTTTATTGGATTTTTTTTTTTTTTACTTTAGTTCTATCTCGTCTTTTGAATTGATTTATCTGTATGTGAGCTTCTTATTTGTTTCTTAGGCTAAACAATCTTGAGGATATTTGGGCTGAGTTTGTTGTTTGAGATTTCTTCTATAAATTGATTATTGGGTGCTGTTTCTGAAGGTTTATACTACTGACATTGTGAATATTTTTGTGCAGTTCACTTTTCCTGAGTGTCTTTGAGCTGGCTGATTTGTTTTCTATAGTGTACATGTGCTATATTTCTTTTATATGTTGAGTTTTCAGGATTTATTGCTAATTCTGTTCTCTGACATAGACAGAAAAGAAAAGGGGGGGGGGGGTTGGGGGGGGGGGAAGGGAAGAGAATTTAATGGTATACAGAGTCTGAGATTTTCTTGTCCTTTTTTTTTTATGTGGAAGGAAACTCAGATTGTAAAATTTTCTTTCCATTGTGAAATTAATTTGTTGGGAATTAGGTTTCAACGGGCTAGATATGTTGGTTTCAGCTACATCGTAGAGTTGACTGATTTTATGACTAGTTGGTCCCCAACTGGTTTACCTTCTTGATTCCATAATGAGGTTCTTTAATTGATTGTTAAATATAACTATTTTTTTCCATTTCATAAATAATGAGGTTGTTAATCTTCTCTGAATGATTTTATAAACATCTCTCTCCCTCTCTGGTATAATAGTTCAATAATATTTGTATTTTCTTTGACTCATGACCTTTCTTTTTGATTTAAAATTTATGTTTCAGTTATCCATGCATCCCTTCCTTTTTTCTTTTCTTTTTTGTTGGAGGAGGGAGTGCATAACCTTTAAATTTGATTGAGGTTGTATACACGCAAATTTTCTATGTTTCATTTTCCTATTATGATTGTGAATTTTTGAGCGACTTCAGTAGTTTCATTACGAATGGTTTCTAGAAGCGTATTTCTATGTGTCAAACAAAAGTGAGCTGGCCCAGTCAGTAGTAAAGCTGGAAATTTCATGATTTCTGGCCTGGGATTCATTTATAATTGTTTTAGGAATTTGCCACTGAGTCAGGCTTCTAGGAGTGTCTGTTTGTTTTTTTCTTCTTTTGATAGCGGTGGTGTTCGGCCTAGCGTACATGCACCTCAACTGCTACTAGCAATTCTTAGTGTGTGAGAGTTTGTTTGTTTAGGACCTTTGTTGTTTTTTGATTTTCTGTTTCTTGGCATTTGATGTTAGCTCTTTTGGACTGTAATGGTTACTTTGTGATAGGGTCCCTCTTTCATTACATAGTTCCAAATTACTTGTCCGAGTTCATAGATTTGGTTGAAGTGATGATGCATGAATGAAAACATCTTAGTGCCTTCTTTACATGCATAATTTTGCCTCAATTTGTGTACTCATTGGTTATCAATTAGCTTTTTTCTAGCTTTTTTCTTATTCTGTGAGCTTAAGTTTTCTTGGTTTTTCTTTTCATGAGTCTCAACCTACTTCCTTTTAACTATCTGGTTGTATGGATTTTTCTGATTACTTTTGTCCGCCCTCCTTTAAAGTGAGCCTTAGATGATTCTGTGAGATGCATAAAGTAGTTTAATATATGCTTGGAGATTAAGTGGCTCCTTCAGCTACTTACCAAAGCGCTCGTGCAACTGAAATGTGGAAAGCCTGGAGACTTATCTTCGGCACCTTAGCTGATGATATAGTTGGGACCAAAACCTGTATAAAACATAGTATTGGAATTGCTCTATCATACCCAATTGTAAGCCTTTTCAACAATGATTAGACAAGTATGGTCTCTAGAAAACCCTTTGAACAAAATGCCTGAACTAGGAAACCCTTTGAACAAAATGCCGAACCTTTCGAAACATGTGATTCCTTTGTTCAGAACACAAATATAGTAACAAGCTGAAATCATATTTCACCATGCTAATGCCTCTGGTCGTGGAGATTGTGCAATGAACCTAAAGACAATATTTCATAAATAAGATTCTTGGTCCCCATATTATTGGTACTGCAATGACAACGATTACAATTCAATATTGCTGTTGAATGCAAACTCAGTATTTGTTCTCATATACGATTTTGATATGTATGTCGCAGATTGAGTGTTTTGCTTGACCCTCTCTTTTAATTTGGTTTTCTTATTCATTCTGTCTAGGGAAGTTGAGACGAAGAAGCCCTTTTCTCCTCCTCGTGAGGTTCATGTTCAAGTAACACACTCTATGCCGCCTCAAAAAATTGAGATTTTTAAATCTATGGAGGACTGGGCGGATCAAAATTTATTGGTTCACCTGAAACCAGTTGAAAAATGCTGGCAACCACAGGATTTCCTGCCCGATCCTGCTTCGGATGGATTTCATGACCAAGTCAAGGAATTGAGGGAGAGGGCTAAAGAGATTCCAGATGATTATTTTGTTGTTTTAGTTGGGGATATGATCACAGAAGAAGCCCTTCCAACATATCAGACTATGCTTAATACGTTGGATGGTGTCCGTGATGAAACCGGAGCAAGCCCTACTTCTTGGGCCATTTGGACACGGGCCTGGACTGCCGAAGAGAACCGGCACGGTGACCTCCTCAACAAGTATCTTTATCTTTCAGGGAGAGTTGACATGAGAGCAATTGAGAAGACAATCCAATACTTGATTGGATCTGGAATGGTGAGTTCTACATATTTAAGGTTTAGTTTCAAAATTCCCTCTACAATCATACTACTATCTATTAGAGCTGGAAAACGTCGTCTTATACATGCTGAGACTATCTATTAGAGCTGGAAAACGTCGTCTTATACATGCTGAGACTATCAAATAAATACAATCAGTGGGCTGTTTAAAACTTATGAATACATGTAAGCACCTTCAATATCTAGAAAACAATATTTACCCATATGCTGAGAGATTAATTCATAGTGTCGTCATACGTTGTTCCCTCATCTGGTTTACAAATTCCGTTTCCCTCCTCTCGAAACAAAGAACAGAACTCGTCTCTCAAGAGAATTCAAACAGGTGATATTTTCTTTTGTTTTTTGAACCTACTTGTTCAGTAAATGGCAGAGCAGACACTTAATGCTTTGTTTCTGGTTAGTGCCATACAATTTGATGTGTCAAATTGCTGTTTTCATATATTTTATTTGTCCAAAATTTTTCAGGATCCTAGGACAGAAAATAATCCATACCTAGGATTTATTTACACATCATTCCAAGAGAGGGCAACTTTTGTATCCCATGGGAACACAGCTAGACTTGCTAAGGAGCATGGAGATATCAAGCTGGCTCAAATATGTGGCATAATTGCTGCGGACGAGAAGCGCCATGAGACAGCATACACCAAGATTGTTGAAAAGCTTTTCGAGATCGACCCTGATGGCACTGTGCTAGCATTTGCTGATATGATGAGGAAAAAGATATCTATGCCAGCACACTTGATGTACGATGGGCGCGACGATAACCTCTTTGATCACTTCTCAGCAGTTGCTCAGCGTCTCGGTGTCTACACTGCTAAAGACTATGCAGATATACTGGAGTTTCTAGTATGTAGGTGGAAAGTGGCTGATCTGACTGGATTATCTGGAGAAGGAAGAAAAGCTCAGGAATACGTATGCGGGTTGCCACCAAGAATCCGAAGATTGGAAGAAAGAGCTCAGGGTAGGGCAAAACAAGGACCAATCATGCCATTTAGCTGGATATATGATAGAGAGGTGAAGCTCTGAGTTGCACAACAAATGAAAGAAACAAGGGCTGTGTTAGTGTTGTTCTCTCCAGCAAGTCTCTGCTCATGTAGGATCTCTATTATAGATAGTGTGTTTAAATCTCTAATGTCTTGGCAATTCACATTTATTGGTTTCTTTATGGGATGAGATTTTGCTGGGAATGATTCTGGTGAGATGTAGATACAGTTGTTTCTGTTTGTGTTGTTAGGTCTCTGCTATATAGGAACAGCTGTAGTTTCTTTGGTTTTTTTCCTCTTTGAAATGTTCTGAACTATGAGTTTGTTTCCCTTTCTAGTGCTTTTGTGACTAAACATGATATCAAATCTCAATGCAACTTTGATACTTGTCATGATCTTGCAAGGAGGTAGTATTATTCGGTGAATTAGTTGAGTGCCCTCAAATTTATTAGGTACTTCTAAAAAGGCAGCCTGATGTACTAGGGATCCCGGGAAGGGGATCCCGGGAAGGGGGTGTGATGCATACAGCCTATCACATATGGTAATGCAAACATAGGTCACACAGAAACATGGCTCCCCTCCTTATACTTCTAATTATAAGATACCTCTAATATACTCCAAATCCAATTTAAGCTAATAATATCTTTCTCTTTTCTGTGGTTAATACTTTTTCTTTCGGTCCACAACTAGTTTCTTTTTTTCAAAGTTATCTTTGGACTAGGGGTGGGCAACGGTCGGGTCGGTTCGGTTATGAATATTATCGATTTAGCATATTGGTTATCGGTTTACAAATTTACAAATTTGATAAACCGATAAGATATCGGGTATCGGTTAATCGGTTATCGATCATTATTGGTTCGGTTATCGGTTTACTCGATAAGATAACTCAATCTAGAGTTAAGCAAAAAAGAGAGACAATTCACTGGAGTTAAGCAAAAAAGAGAAGAATTCACATATAATATACTAAAGACTTACACTAGGAGTAACAAGTAAGGTCTATGAAGAATGAAGATGAAGCAACTGAAGAGTTCGGTTGAGAACGAATAGGAGAGAATGAACTGAAGCCCTAGCATTTGTATATACTTAAGGGTAAAGTCGTAATTTTATTAATTCTTATTGGATGATCGGTTAACCCATTAACAAAATTGACAAACCGAAGCCCGAACCGATAACCCAATAGTGAAAAAATTCTAAACCGTTATCGAACCATTAACTCAATAACCCGATACCGATAACCCAATAAACAATTAACGGTTCGGGTTATCGATTTTACCCGATATATGCCCAGCCCTACTTTGGAGTAAAGAGCCTAGCCTAAGAGTATTTGTTATATTTTAAATAAATAAATTAATGTTAATATGATCAATTTCATTGTTAATTAATGTTAAAAGGTGAATTTTTAATGTGTGAAAACAATTAAAAAAATTAATTAAAGTGGACCGATCAGAAAAGTGGTGAATTTGTTTTTCCAGCTTTTGCAAACTTATGTTTTCTAGCAAAGTATGTGGTTTATATTTTGTTAAAAGTGGCAATAATGATTCAGCAGTCCTATACTGGCTTTTAATGCACATAGAGAAACGCCCCAAATCTTATACTGGCTTTGGCATAAGTGATGAGAAAAGCCATTCTAGGAAAATCGTTTTTCACTTTTTATGACTAAACTGTATCCGAAGGTACGTTTTCACCAATTTTAGTGGTGTATATATGAAGTATGGGAATGGAGAATTAAATAGCTACAAGTTTAGATAGTCCACTTGATTGAAATACGAAATCAATGTGAATTACTGTAAAGTGTAAATTAGTTCTAGTTGGAAAAGTTTTTTTTTTTTTTTCGCCCTTTGCTTTTGTTACTCTGACAATGACAGTAGTTCAGTTTCAGCCACTTGAAGCTTACTTGCTTCTAGCCTGGTTGGCCAAGTTTTGGAAGGAAAAAAAGTGCTTTTGAGGAGAAGCAGAAACACTTTTGGAGGAGTAGAAAAAAGTAGATTCTCTTCAAAAGCACTTTTCTGATAAGCACTTTTGAGAAAAATACACTTAGAAGCAGTTTTCAAAAGCTTGGTCAAACACTAATTACTGCTCAAAAGTGTTTTTCAAATTAATTAGCCAAACACAAACTACTTCTCACCAAAAGTATTTTTTTAAAAAGTACTTTTGAGAAAAGCACTTCTCAAAATAAGCCGATTTTAGAAGCTTGGCCAAACGGGCTATACTCAAATTATCTACTATTGTGTTTCTCTTTTACACGATGCAATATTTTATTATTTTATTTTTATTTATGTCTTAATATATAATATCTTTTTATTGAATATTTATTTATTTATGAATCATCACTATTTTCAAGAACAATTACTACTAAGGGTAAAATGAAAAAAAATTATTAATTTGTCTTGAACTTTTAAAGTAACAAATAATTTATAACAATTATTTTTAGAAATTACGATAGATAATTTGCGACAGAGACGATAGATTTTAAGTTATTTTTACAGTCTGGTTGAAATTAAATGGCAAAGGGGAATAAAAATAACTTATAAGTGTATAGGTGGTCCACGTGTTTTCGTTTTCCAATTATTGGTGGTTCACCTTATTTCTAATTATGGAAGTATTTCTAGTTCACTTGTTTTAGATTTGGGAACAAGTACCCAAATACCAGAAGATAGTACAACACATGGTGTGACTTTTCTAGCCCGTTTGGTCAAGCTGCAAAAATCAGCTTATTTTGAGAAGTGCTTTTCTCAAAAGTACTTTTGGTAAGAAGCAGTTTGTGTTTGGCTAATTAGCTTGAAAAGCACTTCTGAGCAGCAATTAGTGTTTGGCCAAGCTTTAAAAAACTGCTTCTAAGTGTATTTTTCTCAAAAGTGCTTCTCAAAGAAAGTGCTTTTGGAGAGAAGCTACTTTTTTCTGCTTCTCCTCAAAAGCACTTTTTTACCTTCCAAAAGCTTGGCCAAACACCTCAATTTTTGGTCAAAAGTGCTTTTGGCAAAAAACAGCACTTTTGGCCAAAAAGAAGCTTGGCCAAACAGGCTAGATCGATTCCTTATTGGTCCTGTGTTTTCATAAACACATTTCAACACTTAGCCATTCGTGTCCATGATCAATTCAATTTTACTAACAATTATTGTTAAATTATTTAGCTTATATTATCTGTCACGACCCGGATTTTCCACCATCGAGAGTCGTGATGGCGCCTACTGTTGGAGCTAGGCAAGCCAAACATTTAAGCATTCTCGGATAACAACACAACAATAATAAAATAACGAGTCTTTAAATAAATGCGGAAGTCTAATATTTCACTACCCAAGACTGGAGTCTATCTCACGAACTACTAAAGAGTGCTACAAACAAGTCTGAATAGGAAATGCATAAATGTCTGTCTCGGTACAATGAAGACAAACTGAAAACATAGAAAGGGACTCCGGCCTGCGAACGCTAGCTAGGCTACCTCGTAAGTCCCTGGACTGAAGTCAGCTCCCGATCAATATCCTACTGCTGTGGTCCAAAAGCTGCTCCGGTACCGTGATCTGTGCAAAAGAGCACAGAAGTGTAGCATCAGCACAACCGACCCCATGTCCTGGTAAGTGCCTGGCCTAACCCCGACGAAGTAGTGACGAGGCTAGACAGGACTACCAAACCAACCTGTGCAGTTCAATATATATATGTGCAATAAAAGGAAAGAACAAAGTAATTAAACAGTTAAGAGGGAGGGGAGCATACTATGGGGGAGTACAGTCCGGATATAAAGTTAACAATTTACGTAAGAAACAGGGCAATAACAATAATTAATGAGAGCAGGAAAATCAGCAGTTGCACGACATCAACCTTCGTGCTTTTACTCTCATTCTCACCAAAAGCAATCAAATAAAGTGCACGGCATCACCCTTCGTGCTTTCCCTCACGTAACTCTCATATCATGGCACGGAATGATCCTTCGTGCAATTATAATCAAATTTGAGCACGGAATGTCCCTTCGTGCATAATTAATCAAAACATGGCACGGAATGACCCTTCGTGCAAATATAATCAAAACATGGCACGGAATGACCCTTCGTGCAAATAATCAAAATATGGCACGGAATGACCCTTCGTGCAAATATAATCAAAACATGGCACGGAATGACCCTTCGTGCATTATCACTCTTCCTCACCCAGACAATAATCACAACCAAACGGGGCGAGGGGATGAACAAATAATAAGAAATGTCCCGGCAAGGGAATTACTCAATTAACAGCTAAATCCCGGCAAGGGAGCAACGACAATACTTTCACATCCCGGCAAGGGAGATAATCAATATACTCAAACCATCCTGGCAAGGGATTAATCATATCACTTCCTATTTCTTTCATTTCTTACTCAATAGTCTTTTTATCGTTCGAGCCGACGCTCCAAAGAATTTACAATTCATAATTAGTCCTCATACTCTTCACATTGCATAGAATTCATCAATTAACATGGAAGAGTCATAACAATATCAGGATAAGTACATACAAGGATCCACGGTCATGCTAGACACCGGTGTATAGATACTCGTCACCATGCCTATACACCGTACTCGATCATTTAGCAATTTAGCAAATAATAACACTCTAATCATATTCCTTCAAGCCAAAGTTAGATTGAACACTTACCTCGGTCCAAAGAATAGCAATAAATTCTCAAATACCGCCTTTCCTCTACAATCCGACTCCGAAACAATGATATCTAGGCATAATTAATTCAATAGTATCAATAAAGACTCAATGGCAACATCCCATAGCCTAGATATGAATTTCCTAGCATTCTTCCAAAAATACCAAAATTCGACACCGGGCCCACATGGTCCAAACACGAGGCTCGGACCAAAACCTAGTCACCCATAACCCCACGAGTCCAAATATATAATTTGTTTTAAGATTCAACCCCAAATTGAGGTTGAATCGCCCAAAATTCTCAAAACCCTAACTCTACCCAAAACCCCTAATTTCTACTTTGATTTCATGATTTAGGCTTAGAAACTTGCTAATTAATGAAGGAAAAGTGAAGGAAATGAGTGGGGAATTACTTACCCAAGTGGTCTTGAAGAGTGGGGGCTTTAATGGCCTCCTAAAGCTTGGGGGAGAAGAGAGCCCGTGAGAAAAGTGAAGAAATCCCGTGTGTTCTGATTCTGGAAATTAAAAATATAATTGGGCGTTTTTACCCTACGCGATCGCCACTAAGAGGACGTGTTCGCGAAGAAGAGAAACTGGAGGCATCGCGTTCGCGATGGGTGTGATGCGAATGCGAAGAGGAAGCTGGTGGGGGCCCTGGGATTGCCTTATGCGAAAGCGTAAAAAGGGGACGCGAACGCGGTTGAGGAAGGGCTATAAGTACGCGAACGCAGGGGCCTTTCCGCGAACGCGAAGAAGGGAGAGTCCAAAGCTA